ATCAGTGGATGAGTGGAGATCCAAGTCATACAGGAGGGAAATGTATGAGCTGTCTATCAATGAGCGCTGGTCTATGGAAATGGGACTTACCGGGTCGTTCCAGCCCCAGTTGTTGTACTTGTTCCACCACCAGAGCTGTACCAGGGGGTAGAGAGAGGGCGGACGATGGGAGAAGGGAAAAGGTAGTGCAGTGCGAATGAGTTCACAATATAATGCCAAGCGGAATGAGAGCCACCAGGCCCTGATACTGCGACAGAGAGGCATCCAAGAGGAAAACTAGAACAGCCGGGCACGAAAAAACGCTGGTCGTACGCACCTTTCGATGGTTATCATCTCCCTCTGTGGGGGGGCCCTCCTCCATGTTCATGCCGTCCATCGCCCCAGGCATGGGCATATCCTGTTCGTATGCAAGAGTGGTAGTGTGGAGGTGAGCCTTGCCTGGTCGAGTCACGCCCGTCATCCCGGCTACCCACGGAGGGTGCTCCTACCATGCGGAGGTTCGGTGTGTTGGCATCCGGAGCCGCCACCGCAGGCATGCTTGCCTCCGCCGCAGGTTCTTGTACCTTCTCGACTGTGGTCTCAGCCGACGCTTCTTGCGCCTGTGTGTGTCAGCGTATAGAAGATGAGATTCATGATGGGCGAAAGTACGTGATCGGGACCGGGCGAGATCTTTCCTGCCTGATCAGTCTCCTGAACACAATCAAGCCCTAACCAAAAGAATAAAACTTACCCTGCGAAGGTTGGGAGTGTTCATAGTGTCGCCATGGACCAAGGCTAAAGCGCCAAGGAGCAGATAGAAGGTGCAGGTGGTGGCGTGAAATCGCATATCTTTGGAAGGTGCTGTTCTATGTTTGCGATAAGTGTGATGTATGATCAAAGGGCAGAGACATGAAGCTAAACATGATCTAGTGTTACAAGTCATGAGTACAGTGCTGCCATTGGGAGCTCAACTTTGTGCACTTTTATATCTCCGGGAACAAGTGAAGTGATGCAGGAGGAAAGGAGATTGAAGTGACGACGAAGTAGAACACAGGGAAAGTCGTTGAATGAAGACAATCACGACACTGTCAACGAGTTGCAGCGGCTGTAGAACAGTACGTCGGCAACAGCCGCCAGATGGGCCTGGCAGTCACACTACTTTCACACACTTCCGCTTCATGCCAAATGAAATGAATGAACATGATTGATCATAGCAAGCTGTCTCGAGGTCATGCAGCTACCAAAGCTGCTCAAAAATAGGTATGGCAATTGCAGGAGGTTGATGACACCACGTGCGATATCTTTCAGTATAGTATCTTTGGGTACCAGTGTCCCGAAATATTAAAAATCAACCCGGGAAAAAAGCAATCAACTGGTTCACACGTCAAGTCTATAGCATATTAGAAGGTTGGACGTGTCGGTATGATTTTAGGTTCGGACATGACCAAATGGACCATGTGATTCTGAAATGCCAGTGGGTTCAGGAGGGGGTACGTGGCAGAGACGTGGCGTTAATGAGAAAAGCGTCAAAATTTGTGTAACAGCCACACCGGGAAAAGTTCTCCCATTTCCAATGGCACAGCCCTGGCTGTTTTTATTTTTCAAAAAAATCGTTGTCAGCGTGGAATGTGTGACAATGCGTTGTGCAATTTCATCTCTGTGTGTGCGTGGCATTTTTAGCTGTTCTCTCGCTTTGTTCTATCGCGTTTACCGTGGCGACGTAAAATGTGGATTAAAAATCACGTTTCCATGCATTAAGTGACCACGATTCTGAATTATTAGAGCTAAAATCATCATTGAACTGATGTATATGGGACGATAGGACCACTGAGTAAGTCGTGTACATCTCAAGCTTCCCAAAACGCTTTGGCACGATAATTTGGGAGGAAAAGAAGACCAAAAAATGTTATAATAAGATTCTAAATACAGCACTCCAAGGAATAATTTTGCGTCTAAATTATGCCACCTACGATAGTCATCAAGCAGGAAGTGCAATGGCAGCCTCACTTTATGGAGCTTCTTTTTCCAGATCTAGATATCCCTCCGATGCGCATTTACAGTTTCTTTCCTTGTAGACTCTCACGCTCACATTGTGATGAAAGAAACGATAATAAACGAAAAATAAATCGATTTTTTCCTGAAAGTCATGCGGAGAGTGCTGGTCTATTACTTTGGAGCACGATTTATCTCAATTCTCTATTCTGTGGTACATGACTGGTGTGCTTCAAAGCTCAAGAACGAAATCTCAAGCTGGCACTCAAGGAGGTGCAATTCATAGACTGTAGCCATCAGAGCAAGTGGGGCCAAGTAATACATCGAGCGTCTGAGTCTCGCACCTGCTGCTTCGACTTGCTCACTCCGTGCCTCTGTGCCTAGCATCCCGACCGTCTCAAGTATCTTCTTAGGTGTGAAGGACTAGTATATGGCCTAAAGTGACAGGCAATTTAAATCATGTAACTACTACTATGTTGAAGTCCCTAAATTCTCGCACAGAATCGAACAACAAAGTGTAGTTACAAAAAACTTGCGACTGACGTCGTCGAGCGGGGAGTGGTCTCATGTCTTGCTTTATAATTATGATATTTCGATAAAGTAATTATTTATACACTCATATGCATGCTGCCATGCTTACTGTAGTACACACGAATGAGGGCTTCGGTATTCTTTGCGACAGAAGGAATTGTCAACCAACGCTAATTGATAAAAAAGTCAATGGCAGACTGGGCTTATCCCCCCTGCATTACCCTGCGTCTAGCGTTATTTATTATTATGCTCTTTCCTACGGCGGGCGCGCATTTATTCATGCATAATGGTTGCTTCATGCTTTGCTGCGACCCAGGCGGCATCCCAAACAGGCTTGCTTGTGTGAACAGGCACTTTCTGTCAGAAAAGCGAAAATGATGTTCCTCTGAAGGAATCAACGGGACGAGTGCGGCTTGTGTCAAAAGGTGCTGAGTGTCGTAGAAGTTTAAGTAGTGTTTTTCGAGAGGATTAATAATAGAAGCGCCGGCTCACGTTAAGAGGCACTGCCTGTCATAGGGGCTACAAGTATACACTCAAAAGAGGAGTCAATGGGCAGAGCGCCGCTGTGCCCGCTGCGCGAAAGGCGATGGGCCATCGGGCGGAAGGGGAGGACATCTCTTTTAGCCTCGGAGGTCACAATTATGAGAGAAGTCAGTCGCAGTCACAATTTGCTGTTTTGTCCTTCCAATTCAACTGCTGAGTTTATCCTCGACAAGGCTCCCTTAGGTTATCTTTCTTGTCTCTTGGATCACGCTGCTGGTTTCGCTCTGAGGGATAATTAGGGGTTCCCACAACACATGCATCGCCAAGACGAACGTGGACGCCGCAGTGGATGTGATTTGAGGCCCTTTTTAAAACACTTTCTCCCCGCCAAAGCCTACAGTCATGCGCATTGTCCCTCTAATTAAATCCCATGAACAGGTTGGGCAGGGCTGTGGGGGCAGGGGAGGACGACGAGGAGCGAGAATATCACACTTGAGCACACACAGCCTTCAAGGTAAGTTCAGACACAGTTCAAAGTACTTGAGGCTCGCAGGCTAGACTCCCTCCGATGCAGAGGCGAGGGTCACACTCCTTCTTCCACACGACCGAGGCATTTTTTGACATATTTTGGGCCATCGATCTTGCGCTTTCAGGACTGAATGGCATTTCTTCAGCGTCGATTGCAGTGGAGGGGACTCCTCGTGCTGTCAGCGGTCATAAATGCCTTGTGCTATGTGCGGCCTCTGTTGCCGCTGCCTGGGTACCCTTGCCCCTTGGAACTTACGAAGAATCCCCACGGAGGAGGCGACGCGGGCGGCGCAGCATTTCCATCCCTTGGGGGGGGGTATGGGGGCATGAGCCAGAAGAGAAGAGGGCGGCATGGACACAAGGTGAGTTATGAGGGTCGAAGGGGAGGAAAGGCTAAGGAGGGGGGGGAATAAAAACAAAACGTTTAAGCGTGAGCACGCACTAAGACAAACTACGCAGGGAATGCACAAGATTTAAGCATCTCGGTGGGACTTTTGATATTGGGTTGACCTTCCCTCGATTCCCACACGTCTCCTTGTATCGAATTCTGCAGGCATTAGCAAAGGCAAAAGCCGGGGTTCAAAGCTCGGAAGGAGTGTTGGTCGAAGAAGCGGAAGATCCGCATTCCATTGCGGCGGTCAAGCGTTACGTGCTGCGCTATGTGGACCAGAAACGTCGCCCCCACCGGCGCAAGGAAGGCGGGAAGGAGGAGGCGGAGGAGGAGGAGGGACGGTGTGAGTTGACACGCGTCCTTGGGAAGGAGGGCGAGCTGGGTATACAGTGGATGCCCGGGGGTAGTACTAATTACAAGTGAGGAGGGAGGGAGGGAAATGTATGAGCT